CAGCTGAGTCATGTAAAGGGAACTGAATCAGGCTGAAAACAACGTGCCGACTCTATTTGGGCAACGGTGCCTGTTACCCACAGTTTCATACCTATTACCAGTACCCCCATAACTTTCCTAGCTAGTAAACCATCATCTGTAGGTGACCTTTACCATTGCTCTGGTCTGTTGGAAGAGGAACGAAGATCCGCGGTACATTCCTCTAGATGCACACTTGCTCCTACTTTATGCTCTCGTAGGCAGCTTGTATCATAATATGCATACTATCCGGATACTGGAGCATCTCATGGAGCATGGAGCCAATGACGAACCACCGGTACTAGACTAGACTATAAGTAACGTAATTAGTACTGTACGACAGAAGCCAGCCGGGGCCGGGCTACATGTATGAATGATACCGTACTTCACACTTCACATGAAGGGAAAATCTACAAACCATACCTTCCTGGGTTGGTTCCGCCTGCAACTTCAGAAGAAGGAAACCATGTCTTGGTACCGCGCTACTATACTGACTAGACTTGCACAATACCGGTTGGGGTGCGTGGTGCTTCACACAATTAATTCACTAGCTAGCTAGAAGGTTTGCATGTCTTGGTATCGCGGATGCAAACCAAGCTGGTCTTGAACGTTGCAACGAACTGGCTGATGAGCCACAACACCACCAAGTAAGTTTTCTTCCAACTGCTGCGACACAACACGACACGACACGACACCACCATGAAGCTTGCAAGGGTTGAAGGGCTGATTCTCTTTGGAACTACTTTCTTGGCGGCCTTGCAGTGCTGCCTTCAGACCTTGAAGCTAGCTAGAGATTCTGGAAGCACCTCCACAACAACTAACTCCTTCAAGCTACAACATGTAGTAGACTATCATCACTCCAATGTTGAGAGGATTCCCGAAGCACTTGGAGGACATGAGTTGTCGTCGTCGTCCACCAAACAATTTCATCATGGACGATCTCTAGACAGCGCCGCCCTCGAAACGGCACTCAAGGGTGCGGGTCTTCGATACTACATGTACGACAATCCCGTCTTGACGCAGAAGAAAGCAAAAGAGAATGCTCGCCATTCAAAGTGGACTTGGACTCGTTCCTGGGGATACCGGTACCAAGACTATGTCAAGTGGGAGTTGGCATACTTGGAGGCATTGGAACATCATCCTTGGCGGATCGTTGAAACACCCGAAACGGCAGACTTTATCATCATCCCCATTCCCATCAATTCCATTTCCGTGGCGGGAGACCCCAAGGTGGACATGCGGAACGCATTGGATGCACTCTATCAAGAAGAGCTGTTCCAAAAGTACCCCGAAAAGCATGTTTGGATGACCTTTTTGGAGTATGCCTTTGCTCCCCGAAAGAACGTCAATGCCATGTCCGCCACCAGCCGCACGGATCCTTCCAAGAAGAAACAAAAGAAGAAGAAGAACAAGAAAGCTGCTGGAAAGGAAAAACCCGATGCTTCGGGACTATACCTTTCGGACTATCAACGCCTGGAAAACATTACCACTGCCTTGGCCATAGACCATCATGCCTGGAATCACAAGGTGCCCTACAGTGTCAAAGAGGAACAAGGATGGACGTGTCAAACCATGCAAAAGGTATCCTGGGGGGAACCCATCACCCGACATTCCTGGTCCATGTCGCTCATGGGGGCCGCTACCGAACTCCAGAATTCCCTGGAACCCCTCACGGTGGAAGCATTCCGTAACAAGACGTATCATTTCTTATACCATAGCCGAAGGACACCTTCCATGTGCAATTCTACTCCACATCGGCATGCACTACTACTCATGGATGAGAACAACAACAACACCCAAACCCGGGATGATGCACTCATAAGACTCAAACAGCCCTCGTCCATTGGGTTTGATATCGAACCGTCCGAATGGCAACGCCGATTTGTCAATGTCCAGTACTGTCCGTGTGTGCGAGGGGACACACCCTTTACACGCTGTGTCTTTCGATCGATTCGAGCCGGTTGTGTTCCCATTGTTGTGAGTGACAGTTTGGAGGACTTTGCACCCATCTACAAGTCCGTGCTGCGACAGACAGACTATGCCGTGGTAGTGGAAGAAGCACGGTTTCTGGAAAATCCCGCTCAAGCACTCCATGAGGCGACCCAAAGAATGACCGCGACGGAGGAACTGGAAACCTTGATCCACGGCATGAACTTGGTGAAACGAATGATTGTACCCAACTACCCCGACTCGCTCTTTGTGGAAGCGTTTGCGCATGAAACTGTGGCAAGTCAACAGCAGGAATATTATGATTACAGGTAATCCGAAAGCAAGTATAACAACTTCTAATGGTTTGTTTGCATGGTGATCCTAGTAGCTGGACTAGTCTACCGGTACTGTACTCGTAATGTTTGAATGCACGAATGAAAAAGTTCATCACTATGCATACGTGCATGGTGATCCTAGCTACCGGTACGGTAGGCTACCACTACCTCTACTCGTAATGAGCGCCCCAGCTGCATTTGTTTCAACTCGCTCCTGGAAAATAGTATCATAGCTACGATAAACTTTGCGAGCCATTGACTCCCATGTCGGATACGGTAGGAACGCAGCACGATGGCAGAGTCGTGTGAATTTGGTGCCATTATTATTTGTCTGGTGCAGCGCTCCTGACCCTGCCCCTAGAGGTGAATGGCACCTTCCACGTCAGTTACTCACGTAGCACGAAGCGGTCCGTAGCAGAAGAGGAATATTTTGTGCAGTAGTCTACTGTACCAGCTTCTACCGTACTGCTCTGGAGCAGTTGAGCGGACGAATCGTGCTTCCAAGCAGTAGTTGGGAGCAGTAGCCAGGGCAGTAGGGCTGGCGTTTGCTGACGTGGCAGTGTCTTTACCGGATCAATCAAAAGGTTCCAAGTGGAAGCTTCTAATCGACCGCAGCTTAACTCTACTAGAGCCCTGTGTGCACGACGAATGCGAAGGTCAAGTTGAGTGGATAGATTCTGATTCGGTTTTTTCAGGGTTCGTCTCCAGCTTCGTTGGCTTATGTCAGGTTGCATGTTTCAGTAACGGTAACGGTAACCGGTATCGTTACCGAATCCGATACCCAAAACCGTAACGAGTATGGTATCAGTGTTGAAAGGCGGTAACGATTATCGGATGAGGCTACAAGGAGGAACGCGCATTGGTGAGTTTGTAACTAGTGGACGACAAGTTTGTTTTGTAATTGTTACGATGTTATTGCTAAATTTTTTGAATGTATGATTCCGTGTATCAAGTAAATCCCAGTTCTTGTTTGAATCATTTTGTATGTGTGTCCCGATGCAGTTCCTCTTGTTGTTTGGGTGACGGATGGATGATTTGTTTGCGCAAGGCTATTAGGAAGGAGCCTAGTTATCTTCATCTTTCTTTTCTTCCTCTTCGTCGTTGGGCACAGCAGCCAATTTGGCCTTTTGTTCGAGGATCTAAGCGGTGAAGTTCTGGAAGTCGACGGCGTCAAGATGCTCTTGCCCAAGTTTGTATTCCTCGATGATGTAGTTGGGAATGCTTCAAAGGGGCCAGACCGAGTAAAGTGTCGCCATGCTCTGCTTCAACAACTGTTCAACAGGCATCTTGGAACAGCAGGATAGGAACTGCTTGCAATCTTCGTCCATGAAGATGTCACTCCAGTATTGAACCTCCTTGACAAGTGGTTCCGTGAACTCGTACTTGTATTTCTTTTGCTTGTATCGTGGAAGCTCGTTCACAGCAGGGACGAAGCACCCTTCGAACCATTCCTTGAGCTCATTTGGGGTGGAATAACGTTTCGTGTTCTGCTCCCAGAATGTGAAGGCCTTCAACTGATAACCCATAGACGACTTGACGGGTTCCATCTCGCCATTCTCTCCGGTGCCAGAGAGAGGGAGCACACGGGGATTTTTCCCCTGGGGAAATCAAACGAATCAACTGCGTTCGTCTCTACTTCCAGGCCGTTACCGTGGCGGACATTGCCACTGCCTGTGGCACCTTCATCCGCGAGGAATTTTGGCATGGGTTCTCCAGCCCTCTAATGCCCAGAACCACCAACTTCAAATGATTCCAAGAGCGGCCCAGGTGTGGCATCTCCTGGACACTCTGGAGGAAGGCACTGACTCTGGCTGTGCCCTAGTATTAATAGATAGATTCGGGCTCTCTCCAAGATTTGATATTTGTCAGTACAGCTGGCTGTTAGCGTTCCGATCTTGCATCCAAGATCCAACGGCCATTTATTTCTCGGCATCCATCCATCCAACAAAGCAAGAGTTTTCCTGCTCCCACGGTGGACTTCTTCTTCAGCGCCACAATCAAATTGTGCGCGAGCTGGCTGATTTATCTTCCATGGCTTTCATGCCCTCTGCTGTCCGCGACGAACCCCGTATCACTCTTGGTCGCCCAGCTATGGCTCCGATTGACTCTGCTGATTCTTCCCATGCTCCTACTCCCTCTGATCCCGTTGTCCAAGATCGGGGTGACCTCCTAGTTCGCGGGTTCTGGCATCGAGGTACCGATTGTATTTTCGATGTCTCCCTCGTGGATGTTGAGTCTCCTGGTCGTCGTGACCGTGGTGTCACTGCTGAGAAGGCCCTTTCTCAGCGGGAGAGGCAGAAGAAGACGAAGTACCAGGCTCAGTGCACTGCACAACGCCGCCACTTCACCCCCTTTGTTGTTTCTGCTGATGGCCTCTTTGCTGCCGAAGCTACTGCTGTTCTCCAACGGCTCTCCCAGCTTTTGGCTCACAAGTGGTCCAAGCCCTACTCTGTGGTTCGCTCTTTCATCTCGGCCAGGTTGAGCATCGCTCTTGCCCGTGCCACGACATTGTGTTTGAGAGGCTCCCGTGTCTCAGCTCTCAAGGTTTCCAAGCGTTGGGATGACTGTGGTGCCCTCGATCTCTTCCGCTAGTCTTGCTCCTTTGCTCCTCCCTGCCCCCCTGCCTTCACCCCTCTCCTTGGTTTCCATGTTGCCCTGCTTGCGCACTTGATTGCCTGCCTTGCGTTCCTGCGTCGTGCCCCCCTTGACCTCTGTCTCCATCCTCATCTTAGCTCTCTCTAATCCATAGTAAACCAGATTCCATAACAGAACAACTACCAGGTACAAAGCTCTTTAGTATTTCTTACTATTACAAAGCTCTTGAGGAGAGTGGGATGCAAGGATGGTCTCGGTTGCACGGATAGTACCGGTAGTGCAGTTCTGCTGCTTGTGGCTGGCTGTCACAGCAGTGCTAGCTTCCACTACTACTAATAATAATAATAAGAGTAAGATTCCCAGCAAGACGATTGGTCAAGATAGTCATGGCCGTAATGTGGACATGCCATTGGTCGGCGCCGGTACTTGGCAGTACAATGATACGATTGCCTATCAATCCGTGTGTAAGGCACTTCAAGCCGGCTATACGATGATTGACACGGCGTGGGGCTACAAGAATCAAGTAGGTGTTGGACTTGCCATTAAAGATTGTTGGCAAGGACGACGCGAGGATTTGTTTGTCTTGACCAAGGTCCCCGGTGGATTGACACCCGGTGAAACCACGGCCATGCACTACCAAAACTTGTGGGAACTCCAATTGGACTATGTGGATCATCTCATGGTACATTTCCCCAGTGATTGGGAACAAGAACACACGGGCAAGCAGCAACGACAAGACGAATGGAAAGCTCTGGAAGAATTGTATCACAGCGACAAGACGCGGTCTATTGGGATCAGTCACTATTGCGCGCAACACATTGACGATATTTTGGAAATTGCCAAAATTAAACCCACGCTTAATCAAGTTGAGTATCACGTGGGAGCCAAGGGCGTCGATAACAACGTCATGCACAAGTGTGCCCAAGAAGGCATTCTGTTCATGAGTTTTTCACCCCTCTGTGGACCCTGTCAACTGGATAGTCCCGACGATTCCCTCGTGACGGGCAAACTTGTGACGGAAATTGCCTCCCATTATCCAAACAAGACGGGTGCCCAAGTTGCTCTTCGATTCATTGTCCAGCAAGCACTCGATCGACCCATGGTGGCCGGTGTCATTCCCAAAAGCAACAATGCCCAACATATCGCTCAGAATATGGACATTTTCGACTTTGAATTGACCCAAGACGACATGGCTCTGCTCACTGCGGCACAAAAACCAAAGCCAGAACCAGGAGATTGTGCGGTTCCGTAGGTAGAATGATTCAATCCATCCAATCACTTAAGAGATCCCACATACCGGTATACAAATAGCCATACCAATAGAAACCCTGAAACACTTCTAGCTAGCTAGCTATCTGGCTTAGCTCTCCTCGTTACAGTTACCTTCCTGTACATATACGGTATGCGACCGTAGGATGCTGAGCCCCGAACAGTGGCCCAAACTTACTTTATGAAGCAAGCAAAATAGTGTTGGCCATCGTGCGTTGGATGCTTTTTTAAGCAGCAAAGCTGTGAGCAGCGAATCCAAAATCTTAACGGATACTCCGAATGGACCGTCGCCATTGCCACTCTTTGTTTCTTGTTTGCCCAAACGCCATCGCTGCTATTATTATTGTAGCCGTTGTAGCCATAGCTTCATCAAACGAGAGAAGAGAGAGAGAGACACAAGCAGTAGAGGAAGGTCAAGATTTGCTGACGGTACCAATTTGCATCATGGATGCAGAAGACGATGAAGATTTGATTGAGCGTGTCTCGGATGACGAGGATGCCATGGTGGAAGATGACAACGGCGGCGGTCGACAGGCTAAATCACGGAGCTCTCGGGACGATGCAGATGATGAGCCACCGTTGGAAGGATACGAAAGGTATGTTATTGGAGATGCATGTCTGTGAGACTGTAATGGGTCCATTCGAGTATCGATCGGTATTGTTAGAGACTTGGGGGTCATGAAAGATATGTTTATGTGTGTTACTAATTAGAGATTAATTGTTTTCTGGATTTCCTGTTGATTGTTGATTACACCTACTATACTTACAGAACAGAGATGATTGGACAAGGAGCCTACGGGATTGTGTACAAGGGGAAGAAGGAAGATACTGGGGATGTTGTAGCCATTAAGCGCATCCCTTTCTCGGATTCCACACCAGAAGGAGGTGTCCCGTGTAACGTCATCCGTGAGATTAGCTTGCTACGAGAACTGGATCATCCCAATGTGGTAAGCTTTGTTCTTGTCGTTATGCTACTTCCAAATACGGATCAGTTTTGGAGGCTGGAGATCAAAATTGGTACTAACGAAAGAATCTTTCTGCACATCCCAAAAATTACAATTCCCTCCAGGTCCGGCTTTTTGATATCATCCAAGCTCAGCCAGGTGGTCTCTACCTTGTATTTGAGTTTGTTGCTTACGACTTAAAAACATACATGGATAAGTGTCAGAAAAGTGACGATATCACCGAACGGGTTGGATTGCCTGTCCCCACGGTCCGGTCTTTTTTGAGGCAAATTATTGCGGGGGTTGGATGCTGCCATACCTATCGTATTTTGCATCGTGATCTCAAACCTCATAATGTACGTGCTCGGCTTCCTGACTTGTGGGGAATCACAAAAATTATCGAGTTGACCTAATCTCTTGGCAATCAATGATAAACTGATTTTGGCTTTCCTCTCTTTTCGACGATCGTGGCAGTTGCTGATTACGGCCGATGGAAAGCAGGTTAAATTGGCGGATTTTGGTTTGGCGCGGCTCTCTGCCATTCCCAATGGTCCCTACACATTTGAGGTTGTCACATTGTGGTATCGTGCTCCAGAGCTACTCTTGGGTGCCAATCGATATTCTACTTCAGTAGATGTCTGGTCCATCGGATGTATCTTTGCCGAAATGGCCAGTGGTATGCCTCTCTTCCCAGGACGTTCGGATATTGATCAAGTATTCAAAATCTTTCAGCGTCGTGGAACACCCACAGGAGAAATGTGGCCACAAGTATTGAGATTGCCGCATTACAATGCCGAGTTTCCGCAGTGGAGGGAACGGCCCATTACCGATTTTGTCCCGATTCAGGGACTGGGAGGAACTACAGGTGCTGATTTGTTGAACAAGCTATTGTTGTACGATCCAGATCGACGCATTGCCTGCAAAACTGCTCTTCAGCATCCATACTTTATGCAACAAGACTAGAGAAGAGATCGCCTTTCCAGCCTGATGGGCCTGCAGCAATTGAGGCTCTACACAATAAACAAAGAATATACAGGTATACTGCGTATAGACTAGCTAGAGAGGTTCAGCTGGCATTGTATCCCTGGTCTCCTCCGTTTTGATGTACTGTTCTTCCATTGTGTTGTACTGGTATCGACGAAATGAATTGGGCACCACTTCGATTGATCTTTCAATATATTCTGTTTGCCACTGTTTGTCAATCATAGTCCAAAGGAACGATGAGGGTTCATTTGTAACTCTCAAATTGATTCGATCCTATTCATCAGAGCTTAGAGGACACGGATGGTCCTCAACGTCACGGGCACAACCGCAAGCCCCCAATCACAACGCACTGTGCACAAATGCTGCCAATGTCGCTGAAGACCATGGTTGCCGTGAAGGCCACAGGCTTCAAGAACTGAAGAGCACCCGTCGCATCGAAACAGATTCCAAAGCTGACAAGCCATTCAGGATCTCACTTGAATAATGTGATTCTTGGGTTGCGATCCCTCTTCAGCGCTTATTGCGTGCTGTTCCTTGCTTTCTGAGGCACGCTGCACCTTGCACCTTTTCTCGTCGAGACCGTTGCCAACTTCGTGTTCGCACCTCGCACCAGCGCCAGCACGAAGACATGTACCGCTAGCCCAACTTTGTCGTAAATCAGTTTCTAGCTAGTAGTAAACATTACATACTTTAGTATTTCCCTGCCTTTAAAGCGACTTGTAGTACTCCACAGGCTGCTTCTTTCTGTTGTATTGCTGTAACGCTGCGGGGAACCGTCGCGTCAAGGACAAGACAGATTGGTCGACCACTTGGCGCAAATCAATCAGTGGACGTCTAGTAGTAGCCGAGAAGGGCTCTCTCACCATGACCAACACAAACGTTATCATACCATCCAACACCCAAAACAAAAGCGTCCCCCATGGAATGACTGCATAACCAAAATCAAGAACAAAGGGCAGCGCCGCCAAGACGAGATACAGATTGGTCACCACGAGATGAATCCAGGGCAAGGGCAACAACACGGCATCTTCGAGACGGTCCACCAACCCCGCATGTGTGTCCCGGAGCCGTCCGACGGCACGAACCAACAGTGGTGTTTGTGGCGGAGGGGGTTGCATGCTCTCGTCCAAGACCAATTTGGGAATCCAAAAGAGCATGGCATAGGGTCGATCGGCTGCCGTGGGAATATTGGCCAAACGTTCCATTTCCTCTGGTTCGAGGTACTGTCCGGCTTGGGTCAAGTATTCTTCCATCTTGGTTGTTTGTTCCAAACCAAAGTGTGGGGTGCTCGTAAAGAGAAAGAAGGGCAATGCCACCAACAATCGAAGAGCTGCTGCCAGCGCGGTTGTGTCGTTTCCCGGGCCATCATTGTCGTAGTAGAAAGTGTGCAACAAAAGACTGATTTCCTCGAGTCGACTTTGGATGGTCCGGACGTCTTGAAGGGTGTTTTGGAAATGATACAATCCAGCTTGGACCAAGAGGACCCACAAGACCCCCGTAACGACCAACCACGCAATCCACAGTGGTCCGGTCGTGACAGCGGGGCCTCTGGAACATCGTTCGGGAAAGAACGTCGTGGAGTGTTGTTGCTGTGGATCATCATCATCACAACCCAAGTGGAAAAATAGAGCCACGGCCGTCAAATAGACGGCGTAGGCCAACACTATGGGCCACGTGCGTTCCGTGACGGTGCCACTCCATCGTGTCAAGTAGCCTCCAATGGGCGCTTTGCCCAAACTGATTTGATCTTGGCGCAGGGGGCCGAATGGTTCTTGTTGTCGAGCTATCATCATGCGTTGGACCGAACTTCGAGTGGATTGTCCCTTGCCGATTTCGACATCGCTCGGTCTCTGCAATAACAATGAAACAGGACTGACAGCAGAAGTGGATGGAGGCTTTCTGCCATGAAGAGACGAACTTTCCCTGCGGTCCATTGTTTCGAAGTGTGGTTTTACGATCTTTTTCTCAGGAAAGGAACAAGCCTTTGCAGAACCAGCTCAAGGAAGGACAGATAAGAGGGAGTAACAGTTGGGAGGTTCGCTGTTGGGTGGTTGTTGCTGCTATGTTGCTACGAAAAGCAAGTGTTTACTCTGTTGTCATGGCTGTCCGCACACGGTTGCGTCGTCCTCCATGGTCATTGTTGCATGGGTCGTGCTCTTGCTTGTGAACCTGTGAACGCAAGTTTCAGAAAAAGGCTTTTTCCAAGTTTGACAAGCATGCATCCAAGCAGTCGAACACAACCGAATGTGGACTGTCACTCGACTGTCACTCCATGGCCTCCTGGCAGTCACCACTGCACAGGACCTGGACCTGCTGCAGCAACGCCACCTCGCCTGTATCGGTGCCACCCACACACCGGTTCACTCATCCCTTGGCGGACACCACAGCGCACACCCCACTCCTAACAAATCCCCGTTTCGCCCGCGCACTCACACCCACCAGCCACTCCCAGGCATGCAACTGCCTTCCATGGGACGGCCTGCACTGAACAAACTATGCTACCGGTACTCTAGGGCTATGTCAGGGATATGTTCGAATGGTTTCTATAGCTAGCCAGTTGCATTACACGCCCCACAAGCGTCACACCCACAGAGATCGGTGGACGAGCAAGTGAAATTCACCCTTTCAGCATCATAACAGATGGTGTAGACGCCCCCATAGTATTCATTGCAGGTATATGTCATGTCCCAAACTCTGTCGCACAGACCATCTGGGATGGATCCGGTTAGAGATGTGTTGGACAATGTGAGATGCTCCAAGGCACCCATATCCACCAGAGTCTCTGGTATATTCCCAGTGACGTTGGTATCATGGAGGAACAGCTCTGTCAGGTCGTTCAAAAGCCCAAACTCCGATGGAATGGAACCTGAAAAGTCATTGTGGGAAAGCCGCAGTGCCTCAATGCTTGTCAGGAGACCTATTTCTGAGGGTAGGGGACCTTCCAGATCATTGTTGTTGATTGCCAGCAAGGTAAGTTTTCCCCAGTTCTCAAAGATGGACCCTGGAACTGTTCCACTAAACCGGTTTCCATCCATCCAAGCCATGGTCAAATCTGTGTGCACAGACAGCACAATGCAAAGGTGTCCGTTAGTTAGTCTCCCGTCAAGAAGATTATGGTATGGGGAGTTACCACCCCAGAACAACCAACTTACTGGGGAAAAGGCCAAATTCCGTCGGAATGGTACCAGTGAGGGCATTGGCATCAATATCTATTCTCTTCTGCTCATCCAGAAATCAAACAAACAAACATATCTGTGAGTCAGAGCCATCCAAGGGAACAAGTGTATTGCTGCTGCTGCTGTACCGTTAGTACAGGAGCTATAGAGAAAGCTTACCATGTTTGTCAAAAGGAACAACTCGCTGGGCACAGATCCAGTGATTTGGCTCTTCCAAAAGTTCATTCGGAGCATGTTGGTGAGCAACCCAATTTCGGTTGGAATGGAAGTATTGAAGGGGAGGGGATAAGTTTTGATGTTCTCCAACTTTGTCAATTTGCCAATGTCGGGGAGCAGTTTGGCACTGGTGACAAGATCGAGACCGTGAATGTATAGAGACACCATGTTGGTCAACCGGTAGAGCTCGGTGGGCATGATCCCCGTCATTTGATCGCATTGGCGGACACTGAGAAAGCTCAAAGCTTGCATATTTCCCATTTCACTCGGCAGTGATCCAGTGAATGGATTGTATCCCAATTCAATGGCTTGCAGATGAGACAACTGTCCGACCTCTGTGGGAATTTGACCGGAATGTTGATTCCGGTTGGCGTAGAATTGCTGTAAGTTCGTCAACAGACCAATCTCGGATGGGATATCCCCAAACAAGTCTTGATTGGATCCAACTTCCAGACTAATCAGTGAATCACTCAAAAGAGACAACTCTGGTGGAAGAGTTCCGTGCATGTTGTTTTCCGTAAAGATGATGTACATGTAGCGGCCTTGACTGTCACACACGGAATCTATTATCTGCAGTGTCGACGGTGTATCGGTAACTCCTTCGTGAATGAAAAAGTCTTCGACGCCACTCAAGAAATTCCGAAAATACCAGGAGCATTCATCCACATTGTAGTCGAGCCAGTCTTTGCGGAGAATCCAGCGGTCTCCTCCCGTGCTAAAGTAGAATACCGCCAGCGCAAATCGCTGCAGTATCTTCCATTGGGGATAGGATGTCCTGTGGGGGTCATTCAAAACCCATTCGTAGGCCCTGGCTTGGGGAGAGACGGGATCTTGCAAGGCAGTGAGTGTGTAGTCTGGTAGTCCTTGCCATGTTTCGGCAAGAATCGTAGGTGCACCGGTAGGGAATTCTGATTCCTGGATTTGATTTGGTGGTTGCTCTGGATTGAATGGATCCTCATTGTTGTTTGCTGGAACTAACACGGCCACGATGATTACAGTAATGGCAATCAGGAGAATGACCAAGAGCAGAATAAACGTTCGGAATTGCGTTTGATCTAGTTGCCGTTTTCGGGCAGACTGTTGCCCGGCATCGTAATTGTGAGCTTGGGGTAAGTCTTGAGGCAATACTTCATGCACTCGGTTGGCCACAGCCAAGCCAGCATTCTGCGGTGGTGGTGGTGCAGAAGAAGTGACTTCTTCAGTATTGTTCATGGGCATGGGAGAGGGAGAGCCCAGTTCTGGTACACTGCTAGTGGCACCATCACCCATTTCTGCGTCGTGATGGAAGATGGGTCTCCCAGAACGAGCATACGCTCCAGGACCCTCTTGGTCCACGTTGGTTCTTGATGTTGGCATGGCCATGATGCCATCGATCGGATCGAACGCATCTGTGGATTCCGCCACATTCATGGCTTCGCTCAGTGGCGTGTCCTCCATTTCCTCCAACTTTTTCTTCTCGGCTTTCGTGATTCCATTGAGGACCTTCTTGTTCTTGCTGCCAAACAAGGCTTGCTCCTCGCATTCCACAGCCCGCTTGGCGGCGACAAGCTCCGCAGACTTTGCAGACTTTGTGTCGTCTACCATAGTCTCGCCCACCGCGGCAGCCTGCAAAGGCTCCACGGCGGCAGCCGCCTCCATCGCCAAGAACTTCCTAGTACAGTCCACTGCATCGTCCTTTGCGACCTGCGCTTCTTCATCGACAATCTCCGTTGCCCCTCTCTCAACACCCATGGTTAGGTCAATAGAATTCAATTACTGGGGTGGTCTAGTTAGTTTTAGTAGCTCCTTTTCACTGCTGCAAAAGTGGGGGGAACCTTTTTATGCGTCCTATTGGGCTCACATGAACGCACGAACGCCACACGGGCTTCGCAAGCTTGTGCTTTCCGTACCTACTACCTACTACTAGCTAGCCTACTAGTACCGTACATACCGGTGGCAAGTGTGTCTCGGTAGCTGTCTCGGTGATATAATATTATCATCGGTGGTTGGAAAGGTGGAAGCAACTTGTTAACGGTTTTGCGACAGCTTTCTGAGTGACAAGCTTTCTGACCATTGGGTAAGAACAGAAGGCATATGAAGAGTGATTTAACAAGATTCTGCTCACGGCACACAGCCAAGAAACGAGCACTTGCTCACAAGAGTGCTCGAGCATTTTTATTAATTAATTATTGGCCTGTCCTGTGACAACCATGTCAGAGGCACTTTGATGAGACTGAGGCAAATTTAAAAAAATTGATAGATCTGATCTAATCAGACAATGCCGCGTTGAATCAGGTGGTCAGCAAGCACTCTACGCAAAATACATGTACTGTGTACTGTAGTAATGTAGTAATCTTCCCTTCAAAGGGATAAGGGATATCTCTTTTTCTTACTTTTAACAGAAGGCTTCCGGTCCTAAGAAACAAGTTCCAAGCATGGTCACAATGAGAGAGTCATTGGACTTAACATAAGGAATCAACCGAAATGCCAAGAAAAATTTGGCAAGTGGGGGTCTTTGTGGGAAGGACGCGAAATACGGCTTATTAGTCCCGTAATCTTGCCAGTTGGAAAGGAGTCATATCAATAAATCTAATTCAAACGCTAAAGCTCCTCCCTTGCTTGAAGCTTGAAGCCAGGTGCCAACTGTCAGCTGTGAGCGACCTGTGGCTACCGGTACTGGCCACCGGTACCGCGTAGCTATGTCATAAAAACAGGTCTAGCTACACGTGTGGCTAGCTGTAAAGTCAATGCGACGACTCCACTGAGCTCAGTCAATCATCGTCATCAGCTTTGCTTCTACGGGTAGACTTGACCCAGAAGTACGAGCTACATGTACGTGTAGCTAGGATGAGCGGTGCCCAAGCTAGGGTAACACAACACAACTGTAGGTGGACACCCCCCTAGCCAGCCCCAGCAGGTTTGAGGAATTGGGGGCCTACCTGGGGTGGATGCTGTTGAAGTCCCTTGTTGCTTGGGTAAAAGGAGATAAACTTTCCTGGGGCGAAACATCTCTTTTACAATACCCAACACAGTTACATGAAGCTGGATCTTCGCCAAGAGATCATTTACACTCCATATTACAGCAGTGACATGGCTGAACCAATCCTTGGCTTGCCCCACTCCTGACCTACCTCTACAATACATGAGGCCACACCAGGCACCACTCTGACCACTCTACTTCCTCTGCCATGACCTGCTCCCTTCCAGCAAGTTCTGTACCCACCCCAGGCACCTGGATACACTTGGACTGGACCAACTTCATGGTCTTCACATGGACCATTCTGCGGAAGACTAGACTACTAGGTCTGCATCAACTAAGTTCGTCCACTCTCTTTGCTACTACGGTATGATTTCCTTGTTCTCTCTAGCTACCGTAGTCCATTTTGTCACATCAATCTTTTGTTTCAATGAATGATTGAACCTTGCAGTGGTGCTCACGCTTTCTTACACTTGCAGTTTTCATCCACCAAACGACACTCGTATTTGTCTTTGGTCCTGTTTACAATGAAAACCTCCATCAGCATTACAGGGACTTCCACCAAAACTCCCACCACGGTCACCAAGACGGCTCCCGAATCGGGACCGTAGACGGTGATGGCCAAGGCCACGGCCAATTCAAAAAAGTTGGACGAGCCAATGAAGGCGGCCGGTCCAGCAATATTGTGCTCCAGGCAAAACAAGTAGGCTGCACCATACGTGAGTAGAAACACGATACTGGTTTGAAGGATCAGGGGGACCATGACCAAGAATACATCCCCAGGGTTGTCGGTGATGACTTGGGCTTGCGAAATAAAGATGAACACCACCAATAGAACCAAAGAGACTTCGGAGATGGGCTGAAAGAGAGTCTGGATGCGAGTCAGCATGTCTTCTCCGTTTTCCTTGCGCAAGACCACCAGATGCGTGAACATCCCCAAGAGGAAGGGAACCACCACAAAGAGACCAACCGACAAAAACACGGTCCCCCAGGGCAAGGTAATATCGGAAAGACCCAGGAGAAGGCGCGTGGTGGGCACGTATAGAAAGAGGAGAATGAAATCGTTCAGGACGACTTGAGCAAGTGTGTAGTTGGGATCTCCATGGGCGAGACTGGACCAGACAAAGACCATGGCCGTACAGGGCGAGCCACCCAGAATGACGGCTCCGGCGATGTAATCCGATTGCGTCTGCGGATCCAACAGGCCTGCATAGGCATACTCAAAGAACAGAACGGCGAGCCCGTACATGAGGAAGGGCTGCACGGCCCAATTGATGAACGTGGTAAGGCAGAGACCGCCGGGGCTGGAATGCACTTGACGGATCTTGCCCCAACGAACTCCCAGCATCATGGGGTACACCATAAGCCACACAAAGATGGCTCCCGGAATCCAGATTTGTTTCACCGTGGCCTTTTCCAATGCCTTTGGAATAGATGGTACCAAGGATCCCAGCAAGGTGCCCAAGATCATGGCCAGGGCGATCCAAATGGTAAGGTACTTGGCAAAGAAACTAATCTTGGGCTCCTCGTTGACGTTGGCAGCATTGCCATCGTGAACACAAGTTCCATCCTCGACTTGGCTGGGAGAGCAGCAAGGCTGGTTTCTGGAGGTATCCCGGGAATCGTTGCAGCATACCTCGTTCTTGTTTGGAACACAAATCCCAGAGCAAGACTTCACAGCAGTGTTGTTTTGGTTCTTCTTGTTACAGCAACCTGTGGTTGATTCCGGTTTCAGTTCAGGTTCTGGGTCGGAATTTCCATTGAGATTGAGTTCGGTGAGGGTGGCAGTCGCCATTTCTGGTTGTTTTGCTTTGACTTCTTGATGTCTTGTACTTCAGCTTTCGAGTTTTTGATAACTGGTTTTGTGATACATACAACGACAGAATAACCTCACCACCAACACATCAAGAGGGAGTTGTTTGGATTTCCGTGGAGGTCGTGCATGCAAATCCAACCCGAAGCGCGTTCGCCCACAGTGAGAACTCCAAGCGGCACCAAAAGATATAAAGCAAAACTGAAAGCACGTCTTTGGTCTGGAAGTTGGAGCGCACAACTTCCAACACAGTCGACGATGAAGAAGCCTTGAATGCAACTCCGTTGACAACACCAGCAACGTAGCAGCTTCAGAGATCGAAAGAAGAACATCCTCATCATTCATTGGCAGTCCAAATATGAGAGCGAGACGAAACACGCACCACGGCAATCAAGCATCGTTCGTGTCACCAACAGTGGAAGAAGAACACAACCGAACAGGATGTCATCTTTCTTCGAGAAGCCCGCCAAGGCCCACAAGACCATGCTTCCACCGCCTCCTGCTCTTTTCTTTACGGAACACACAGAGCTTTGGGTCAATCAGATACGTTTCTTGTTGATGGCGAGCGCATATCACCGCCGCAAGAATTGTACCGGTACCATGCAATCCACTATGCGACTGGCATTGCAAACGATGAAACTCGATACGAGCTCGAAACAGCCGCGAGAAGCGAGAGGCAGCCGTCGCCGGCACCTACTACGGTTCTACTGTACAGTGTCGCCTTTTCCAATGTGCCGACTGCTGGAGTTGGATTTGAGAAAGAAGTGGGGGGTGGATTGGCTGGAGCTTGGGGGGGCAACAGTGCAGACAGGGGGTGGGAGCTGCACAGCCAAAATTGAACAGAAGGGAAGGATTACAAGGAAGCGGGTCAGGAAAGGAGAATGGATCAGAGAAAAAAGACTAGCGATAAAGATCTAGAGTGCAACAATCGTCCAATGCCGAGAGCTCATTGTAGAGGCAGCAGGAACACGAGAACCACCGGGGCACTTCATGGCTGCTCGAGCTAGGTTGATGCTTAGTCAGTTGGAAAGGTAGGATTGAACCACAGAGTAGGGCTTGGACCACTGGCTAGCAAAAGCTGGGAGAGTCATTGGAGAACAGCTGTAGTTTCAGCAGCAAAGATGCCCTTAGCAAAAGCAACGAAAGGGTTGAAGTGCAGTAGACTTGGCTGCTGCCTTTCGGGACTACAAAGTCCGGTCTGTCAGATTGCAGCAGTGAGCGTGTATCTGGATGCACCGTATTGAAATGGACTCGACTCGTACACATGGGACGCTGGTGTCTGTTTGGGTTAGCTATACTTGAGTACCGGTACCACGTAGCCAAAAATGGGCATTTGCGCATTTGTTTTGCAATGGGCCCGGCCCGTATCAACTACGGATGTGCTTGGACTACTTCCAAGGATCTGCTTCGGCATCTCATGCTACCCAAACCCTCGCAGCACCGGTGGAGATTATTAATAGCAAAGCAACAAGCAAACAACCCGTGGGATGCCAGTGTTGGGCACGACAGAATGGGCTAAAGACCGTGGAGCGCACGCCGTGGACTGAGTCGAGTCAGTGTGGAAGATCGCATGGCGGCAGACCTCCACACCTCCACATCACAAGATACGGCTCAACATAACACGTCATAGATAGACCCCAAAGTACATGTATGATAGCCTGTCCCTCAAAGAGAAGATCCATCACGGTGGCTGCTGGAACACATCCGTACTAATGGCCTGATCCATCAGCAAAGACCTGACGATACATACGTAGATATTCATTCGTAGCGCTGGAAACCATTCCAGCTATCCCATTTCACACAAAAGTGCCAACACCAAGCGAAAGACTCCAAAATCGAATCCTTTTTTTCAACTCGACAAACAACAATCTCCACAATGATGTTCAAATCGGCAGTCTTTTTACTGGCAGCTTTGTCCGCCCCCAGCACTACCTGTGCCTTTACGACTACCAGCCCAAGCAACAGGTTCAGTCGCTCGTCTTTGGCGGTATCTCTACAGAGTCAAGATGACAGCAGTAGCCACAAGCAACAGGGTAGCAATCCATGGGCATCCTTGGCCGTGGCGGGGACCATTTTTGCCACCACGCTCGCTGGTTCCGTGGCAGTTCCACCTCCTGCCAATGCCGATGTGTATCTGTCCACCGGAGCCATCATTATCAATACATCGGCCAAACAGGGCGACTCGCTCCTCAAGGCCGAAGTCGACGTGAAGGATCTGTTTGGTTCGTTGATCAAGAATCGCAAAGCACTCAAGGAATCGGTGGGACGCGTGGCGGCGGTCGTCAAGGAAGAATTGGCGTCTCCCGTGTGGACGGAACTAGGCAAGGAAGTCCTTCAAATTGAAGGCGATGTCACTCCGGAAATTACACTGAGTCCACCCCGGGACGTTCAACAAACCGTGAGTGATATTTCCAAGGGGCGACTCAATTTCATTGTCAATGGAGAAATCATCAATTTGTCCGTCGACAAGACGTCGTCGCAAGGAGAAGATGAAATTGTCATTCGCGCCAAGGGAGTACGAGGTGTCGGACTACCACAGTTTAATGAACCCGCCGTCACACAAGTCCGTACGCGATTGCAAGATCAAATCGAGGGCGTTTATGATTTCTGGTATTCGCCCTTGGCGCTACCAGACGCCATTAAGGAATCGTTGCCGGAAGGAGTCGTTATTGATAATGGAAGTGCCTTGGTGGGAGGAACCGTGGTGGGTCTGGGTAGTGTCTACGGACTTTCCTATGGTTACTACCTGAATCAACAAGCAGAAGCCGCCAAAAAGGCAGAAGCCCAACGTCAAAAGGTCGCGGAACGAAAGGCGGCAGCAGCAGCAGCGGCCGCTAAAAAAGCAGCAGAGGAAGCAGAGGAGAGCAGCTAAATTTCTAATTATGTAAATGGGAGCACAAAAAGACAAGGAGGAGGAGCTGCTGAACGTTTGGAGTTTTGAGAGAGAGCAAGAATCGATGCTTCTGCCTATTCATCCATCCATGATAGAGTACCATGGCTGTCATTGAGCTGCAAATCCGGGGGGAAACAGAGTGCGCATGATCACGACTAACGCTACAGAAACCGTCTGCTTTCCCAGATGATGCTGGAAGTTTTCAATAGTAACAAACAAAATCTAATCGAAACATGTACATGAAATTGAACCTTGGTTTCGTGAAACACATTTGGTTGCGGCCAGTGCACGATTCCCTTGCACCCATGTATTGGGGCGAGCTGATGGGTTGATCGATCCAATGGGCAGCCAATCTCTCGTGTCCATTTTAGGACCTGCAAATGCCCATACATAGCAGAATGGGCACATGACTGGCTGTCCTGGCATCCAGAGCAAAGCCAAATGCCCTCCAGTGGCCGCATACATGCTGGTTTGTTCATCCCATAGCATGGACATCCGTTCCCACGCAACCATTGCTTGGAGCATGTTGCAGTTCAGCCTTTATTGAAATCCTTGATGATATTGGTTGTATTGCCTGTAGATGCTAAAATGTCCCTTCAATCTCATTCACAGCCAGTCCAACAGCTCAGCTGAGATTTCATCCTCCAGCACATGTACTGTATGTCATATTTGCACCTCGACCTTGTGACTGTCCAACAACTTTAGAAGCTGACAGTCCAACAACTCAGCTGGGTTTTTGTGAGACACAAGATCCAATTCTCCCACTTTTTCAAAATGGCTTGCTTCTTTTTTGTAGTCTGTTGTCTTCCACTACTGCCGTTGCCCATGACATGGTCTCTTTTGGCAACATCCACCAGAACGAAGGTTTTTAGCACCGGTCGACCCATGGCATTGGAGAGCACACAGCAGAAAAGCTAGCCAAGGATGGTCATAGGATTTGCTCATCCACAGACCACAGCTGAGTTTGTGAGCTTCAACCCTATTGCACCAGCTAACTGTTCAACAACTAAGCTGGCTTTTTGTGACACAAAAGATCCAGGAAAAGGATCTTATTTAGAGGACAAAAGATCCAATCCACCCATTTTTTCAAAATGGCTTGCTTCTTGTTTGTAGTTTGTTGTCTTCTACTCCTGTCGTTGCCCATGTCATTGTCCCTTTCGGCAACATCCAACAGAAGGAAAATCTTGATTACCGGGTCGACAGATGGAATAGGCAAGCACACAGCAGAAAAGCTGGCCAAAGATGGTCACGATTTGCTGATTCATGGACGACAACCCAAGTTGGGAGCCAAAATTGCAGAAGAATTGAAGGCCAAAGGGGCCCATTCGGTGCAGTATTTCAATGCCGATTTGGGAGATTTGACACAAGTGGAACAATTGGCACGAGACGTACAAGAGGCACTACAGGATGATGATGCACATTTGGATGTCTTGATCAACAATGCGGGCATTTTCGATCCTCCACGTCCGGCCAAATCAGTACAGGGTTATGACATGACCTGGGCCGTCAATGTCATGGCACCGTATGTACTGACACGACGACTCTTGCCACTCCTCGCCGCCAGTTCGGATGCGTGTCCCCGCATCATTACCACTTCGTCCATTAGTCAATCCTACACCATGCCACCGCTGGACCAATTGTTTGCCATCAACGATACTCCCAAAGGAGGGCATGCGGCCTACAGCGATTCCAAATTGGGAGATTACATGTTCACGGTGGAACTGGCACGGATCTTGAAACAACAACAAAAGCAAGGCGGGTATGGAAAAATCAAATGTCTCACTATGGATCCAGGGACCGTCAATACCAAAATGTTATTGGCTGGTTGGGGAGCTTGTGGGATAAACGTCAAAAGAGCCGACAACACGTACCAATTGGCCACGGACTATGGGGCCAGCCAAGAGTCTGGAACCTATCACTTTGGTGGAGGAGGATCCAGAGATGCCAAGGATCGGACCAAAACCAGGGCCCTGTTTGAACGACTGCAAGAATGTACCGGAGTGACCTATGATGATTTGTAGCTCGACTTTATAGGACACAGGAGACATCATACTTTCCCAACCGAGAACACACTTGATGATCTTTGGATATGCATGGATGCGCACAATTGAGTAACAAACGTATGACAGCAAGCTAGCTAGAAATGTGGTCATGAGGATTCAACCCTAAGTGTAAACTGCAACTAAGATCTAGTGGAAGATGATAGATTCCGTGCACCGTACGGTGCTCATTTATTTAGATTCGGAAGATCCGACACTGCTGATTTCCTCAGCTACGGCACTCTCATAAGCGCTGTCGTCATCTTTCTGAAAAATGACTGCCCCATCCAGGCCATGCCGCACTTCTACGCCTTCATCATCTTCTTCCTCCGCTCCTAGAGTGAGGTTGCCTTCGTTAGAAGGGCTTTCTTCCACCACGGGGGGAGCTGAATCGCCGAGGTCCTGCCCATGCTCCACTTCTACGCCTCCCTCTTCTTCTTCTTGACTGAGGTTGCCTTCTTTAGACGTGCTTTGGGGAGCTGGATCGCCGACGTCGTCGCCTTCAATCGAAGATTCCTTTCCAATCATTTGCTTCGAATCAGGATCACTTTGGCAATCATTGGCAATGTTTGTCGCGTCTTCCTGTTCTGGGGGATCTGGGTCATCTCTGTTCACCCGAGCAGCTTCCTTTGCCGTGTCCATGGTTTCATTCTCGCTAGCAACGTCAACGTTTTCACCTGTGCATGCTCCCGGGGTCGATTCGTCGTTTATGACATTATTCACAGATGAATCAGTGTCACTCTGGCTGTCGCTAGGAAGCTCCATGGTCTCCACCTGGCTTGCGGGGGGTGGAGCTGGGTTACTGCGGTCACTGTCATCGTCCGCACTAGACGACACCTGTTCATCCTTTGTCTCTGATTCAGATTCGCTCTCTTTTTGGCTCTCAATCTCCATAGTAGAGTCAACCCGCTCTTCGTGGTCTGGGTTGATAACACCATCGCTCTGCAAAGACGCTTCATTCAGGTCCTTAGACTCTGGTTCAGACTCTGACTCAAGCTGGTTGCCCATCTCAATGGAGTCCGCCTGTGTTTCTTGGTTGTCATCAGTGCCACCTTCCAAAGATGACAGCTTTTCGTCGCTTGGCTCTACTGCAGATTCATTTTGGGTGTCAATTTCGACGCTATCTTCTCTGTTCTCGCCATCGCCACTGAAGGCTAAAGAAGCATCGTTTCCATCGTTTGGTTCTGAGTTTTCGTCCTGCACTTGCTCCACGTTGCTGTCGCTATGCGTAGAGGCATGAGTCTCATTGTCGCCATCATCCAAAGCACCTGCGATGCCTCTACTAGCGTCATTGCCGTCAGAAACCTCGGTTTCGTGTGAGCAAGATTCATCCGGTTTCGCCGTCGTTTCATTTTCCTCCTCAGACGTTGCTTCTTCTTGACCGCAAACCTGCTCGTCCTTTGCCTCGTAGCTTGTTGCGTCAACAATTTCAACATCGACAATTGCGCATAACGTTGCCTTCAACTCCGTGCCGGGTGTAGATGGTTTCTCCTCCACTGTATCTTTGACATCTTCATGACCTTCATTCGGTAGCTCGTCAAGTGAGTCCAAAATATCTTGTGCCAGAGCATACGTGGCATCGAATTGCTTGTCGATCGCGTCCATGATACTATCGATGTTATGCCGGTCGTCTTCATTGATGGGTGCACGATCTTCGCCGGGGTCGGGAAACGTGACTACGGTTGCAGTTGGCGCCGTCTCCTGGTCACTGTCACCACATGATACCGGTGCACCACCGAGATTGCCTTGTGTACCTTCCAGGCTTGTACCTAGCGCCAGTAGAACATCAGCCGAGCGACCGATGTCATTGGAAAGAGAGTCTCGAACATTCCGGCTGACGTCCAGAATAGTCTCGAATGACTGTTTCATTGAGTCAACTGAAAAAGGAACGCCAGAAGAAGCACCGGTGGAACTACTGTGGGTGTCATCCAACATGTCAACTGGTGGCAAGCGTTGCCCTGAAGAGCTGCTTCGATCTGGACTCGGCTCTTCGGTCGCAGTTGTCGTGGTCTGTAAACTATCTGCATAGCGAGAACCATCATCGCCCTTGTCCATTGGGGCAGTTGCAAAGGTGTTGATGCTTTCATCCAGAGCAGAATCCTGCCCGGACTGGTCCTTGTTGCTTTCGGAGGGGGGTACGTAGCGTTCTGGTTTCTGTGGCACGCCATCTTCAAGATGATAATTGTCTCCGGCATGCTTTCTCTTTTGCCTCCAATTGGACCATTTATCTTTGACCCAATAGAGTGCAGTTCCAAGCCATCTAGCCGCCGAATGGCGGTATGGTGTAGCGTAGTATAGATAGAGAAATGACATTGCCACAGCGAGGGAAGCTGAGGCAGCAAATATCTTCATCCACACTTCGGGGGTTGTAATCTTGAGCGGCCCACGGAAGCCACCGTGACCATAGGTTGTGCCATTGACGCGGATCTCTAATATGGTGCCCTGCTTCGAGGCTCGTTCCAGATCCTTGGCAGTAGCAACCTCCATGTCCGTCTTTGCCTCAAACTTGTAACACTGCAAATCACACATTTATTTGTAAGAGGCAACGACAGTTCAGATGTGTCTCTCAATTGGACATTTGCCAATCATGATGTGGTCACTTTGTCATGGCTCATTCCTGCTCACCTGATTGCAATTTGTATAACCTGCATCGTCGTAGCAGTCATATCCCCATTGCTCCGCGTCCCCTTCACCATCGTTTTCATCTAAGAAGCGGCGACCGTCGCCGCTTCCACTTCCGCTTTTGGAGTCATCATCATCCCCGTCACTCCAGAAATTCACGTTCAGATTGTAGGCACGGCAAGGCTGGCAAACTCTGAATGAACAAAGCGTATGGTGGAAGTTGCAGTTGTGGACAAAGCAAGATGAGAGCAGTAAGAACCACCGTCAAGTCTCCGGAAGATCCATAAGGATCACTTACTTGTAAACATCCATGTATGAATTCCACGTGTTAATGGCGTATTGCCATGTCTGTGAAACCTCATATCCCTTGTCGTAGTAACCATAATAGTTGTAGTACATCTGGATGTAATCCGCAAAGGTGTAAGACGAGTTTGTAACGCAAAGTTCGTCCTCGAAGATGCCAATTGTGATATCCCCCTCTGCCTGAGGCCTCAGATCCATGTAAAGGGTTTCACCATTGTAGCCAGAGTAGTACAACTGTCGGCAGTAGGTCGGCCAGAACTCTCGGTAGCTTTCCATCCACTCGTAGTCGTTTTCCGACCAAAGACAGTACCCTTGATGCTTGAACAATTGCTCCGCCCAATCTACAAACCCATCTGCTTCCTTGTAGACACCAACAAGCTTGAAGTGAGTATTGGGCTCGTGGCAATCCATTCGTACACAACGACGTGTCTTGCAAAATTCGCGACTGTAGTCGCCACTGGAGAAGTTGAAGAACTGGTATTCTCCAATTGAACCACCCTTGTAACGAGGGTCTACGTACGCAGCCCACAGAACTTTGCGTGTACAGTCGTCACCAGAGTCCTGTGAACCGCTGAGATGCCGTCTTCTTCGATACCAGTTGGCCATGTCTTCAATGTCCATATCATCGTCCCAGGAATCGTCATCGCCGCCTTTACTGTTGTCGGTCCATCCATAGTACGCGTTGGAGTCTTGCACATCGCAATCCGTATACATGCCAAGGTAACGCCATGCCATTGCGTATGGCTCATATTCTTCTCCATTGGAGTCAACAAGGACAACGGATGCAGAGTTGTCGTCATTGTCTTCATTCAATATTCGATGCAGCGTTGTGTGAGGTTTGACCAAGGACGTCAGAGGTTTAAAAGGGTCGTTCACTGTGTCGAATGTCTTCCGCGTTCCAATATCATCTGTATTCTTGAAGGAAAGAGTTGGAATGGCAGTCACAGATGGAATCAATGGCCGGCCTGATAGGATGAAGAGATGCAGTACAAGAACCGAGACCTTCCTCTGGCTAGGTTGAAACGCATTTCTTGACGGTGCTATCATGCTTCGCTGCTGACAATCTTCGGGGTATACGAGACGGATCCTTCGTCAGATAGTAATGCAGCAAGAAATGGATTCACTTGCGAGCAGTTGCCACAACCGCAACCTATAGCTCTGAACACGGCGACGGAGGATCTTTGGCGCAAGGAACACGTGAGTCGACGAATTTTAAGGTGCGCTGAAAACGGAACGAGGTGCGGTGCTCCCAGGCCTGCGAGCAAGCCTCTCCCCTCACGAAAGATTGTCCCCAGGAGCCCAGCAGCATCAGAGCGTTGCGACGCTCACAACAAACGTAACAAGGAGCTGCACTATACTAGCTAGCTAGAGCCAGAGACGAAGACTTGTTCGTTTGCTGCGCGGAACCAGCAAAGGTAAAAAGAGGCGGCGAAACAAAGCAGCAACGAGCACCGCGCAGATGGCGAAGAAACAACGCAGCCGCACTTGACAAGACATTCACCATTGACAAACAACACCATCTCCTGGTTCTAGTACCATACACATACTGTCACCATGATAGGGCAATCTTTTCTTCCTGATCTTAGCCATGCTGCTCTAGACTTAGAGGGGTCTTCTTTGGCTTGGCTGCCACAACAAGCATCACCACGAACGTCGGTGAATGATCCTTTTTCATCATCACGAGAGGATCGCCGTCGTAGCCTCGACAGCAACGATGGCTACTCAAGCTACTTGGTAGACGCTGATGGTAACCAGTACGAGCCATATTCGTTAGCATGGAGATACCTTGGTCTCTTTGTCGATTGTGGCGATGACGAAGAGAGCGAAGATGAAGGTGACAGCAAGGACGAAAGGGAGCGTCACTTGTCATCTGACGATAATAAAGGCTGCATTCGAAAAGTCTTGTGGGCTGCAGTAAGTATGATCGCAATGCTTCCGTGCTGCACACCTCTCTGTACCTTACCTGAAACTTGTCTGTATGCTCCCGATTTCTGGACTCTGGGTCGCATCAGTATCGCGATCCCAATTACAGTGGAGGCTCCATTGGAGAGTACCAGTACTACGACCCTAACACGGGGATTTATGACGAATCATACTGTCGCTCAGAGCGGTGCGTCCCGTTGGATTGTCACGAGCCCGAGAGCGAAAACTTTGAGCTGGTGGGCGTCTTCAAAGAAACTGAAGGATTATACGATTTTGCGGAGCAGCTTTTCAAGCACCAAGGGTACTGTCTTTGGAGCGAGAATACCTTCGAAAAGATGGCCAATTTCCGTGAATACATGGTTCCTTACGACTGTCAACAGTTGTATTTCCCTGATGATTATGGCAACACCATATACATGGCAATAGCTCCACAGCCCATGGGCGATATGACGATTGCCGTATACTCAGATGCAATGTGCACCAAACAGTCGAGAACAACAATCCAGGACTACATTATGCTTTTCTATGACTTACAAGGCAACTATGACAAAGGGAAACAGATCGCCAGCTCTTGGACCACGGCCATCAAACGGTGGAATCATCACATGGGCGTGTACAAGCAGTGTCAGCCTTGCCGGGCATATGATTTGTCCGCAGGAGGAGACGCACAAGAAAACTCGGGATCTGCGGACAACAATAATCGACGTAG